AAAATACAAATAAAAATATTTGGAAGTATGAATTGAGAGAACCTAGATCTAGGAACATCATGGCCAGCCTAAGAAAACCAGTCTCACACATTCCACAAGGAAACAGGCAAGAAGAAGAATACAACATGGAAAGGCCATGAAACTGGACAGGGGATGGAACTGCTGCCAAGATTGGACAGAACCAGGAATGGGGGGAGGCGAGGAGGACACGGATGGACTCCCGGAGCCAGGGGCTGCAGATCTCAATATAAACCTCAGTCATAACATACGGGGCACAAACTGTCAACCTCTGAGAATTCACGGAGGTACTGTTCCCATGCATCATTCCACAAGTCCAGCAACATGAAGACTGCTCCTAAACATTAAATCATTACTTATGGGCTAGAGAAAAGGAAGGTTAAGAATGAGGGGCTATGATACAATAAATGCAGCACAATGAGCAGAAACCACAGGCAAAATCAAGTCTGTTCCAGTAATCCTAACCAGTAGACAGTGCCATACGTCTCACTCTTGGTACATATAGGTCCAGGGATTTAATCCTCCATGAGAACCAGGACAGCTTTCATTCTCTCCTCCCAACCCCCAAGCCCAGGGAAACCAATGCAGCAGATGAGGTATGACTGGAAATCTTGCCGTCTTGAAGAGTGAGTACAACTCTGCACTTAAAAATCTTCTCAACTGGAAGCACCAGGACTCACAAGGCCCTGTGTTTCCATCCGTCCCAGCTTGAACCTCCTGCAACAACCATGCAGCTTGTGGTCTTCGAACTCTACTTCCCTCTAGAAGAAACTAGTTCTTCCTGGGAAAACGGCTGCTCCAGGCCTGAAGCGGGACACCTGTACCACACATGCTGCACTCTGTCCTTCCAGGTGACAAAAACGTGATGTCCCATGGTGACATGCCCCGGAGCCTCCTGAGGTGCTGCCACTGGCCAAAGGTAGCACAGTGTAAACCACGACGACAATGAGGACTGCAGAGGACAAGAACTCCTGAGCTCACGAAAAAATAAAGCCATTTTAAAAACAAAACAAACAAACCAAAAAAAAATTTGAACTTTAAAATAAATAGCCATCACCTTCTGAGGACGGGACGGGGAATCATTCTGTTACCCAAAACCAACCAGATGAAGAGCACTCAGCATTTACCCTCCCTTCCCCATGAACCAAACATCTAGGAAAACTAACAGCAGATGAGGAGTCTTCAGATAAAATCCTCGTTAATGAATAAAAACAAACTGCATGTGCAAGGCCCTGAGTTCAAGCTCCAGCTCCAAAACTGACCAATACAAAAGTCAAGTAATAAACTTCACATATCACAAGTTTTATATTCTCAAGCAGGAAGAGGCTGCAGGCACCCATCATCACAGAGGAGAGTACAGAGCAGAGCCTGCACCTCCACTCGGCAGAGGGCGCTCAGGTGAGCCAGCTGGAGGTATCTGTGGTTCACCTGCCATGAGCAGGAAGCTCAGGGACTGAGGTATACATACACAAGCTGCGCTCCTAGATAGCCAAGGACCGCCATAGGCCTGACCCCTGGTCTTACCATGTCCAGGAAAGAAGAAAGTAGGGTGCTGTAAATTTACAGACTAAAAAAAAGAACAGACAAGGTAAAGCAGGGTGCCTCAACCACAGAGCTGGGAGCACAACCTTGTGCTTCTAGTGTCACTTGTGGTCACGGCAGGCATTGCTGCTGCAGGGTAGTAAGGGGCCTGGAACCGCAGGCGCACAGGCTGCTCTGGTGCTTGAACTGGCCACAAGTCCACAAGGATCACACCTTAGGATGATTCCCAGGTGCGATTCTATCCCTAAGGCCCCACCTTAGGCCCCAAAAGAAATTCAGGAAAACAGGTCAGCAACGTCCAAAACTCTCCCTCAAAACCCAAGAATCTTTCATTCTAACAGCTCTTTTCACGATACATCGTTAGTGCTCAAGACTTTACGGATTTCTTGATTTTATTTATTTTTTTGTGGGGGGGGGTCTGTTCATGGGGCTTGAACTCTGGGCTTGGGCACTGTCCCTCAGCTCTTCAGCTCAAGGCTAGCCACAGCACCACTTCCAGCTTTTTTTCTTTTTGCTTATGTGGTGCTGAGGAATCAAACCCAGGGCCTCAGGCATGCAAGGCAAGAGCTCTACCACTGAGCCACCTTCCCAGCCCTGATTTCTTGGTTTTAAACCAAGCTTCCAATGTGGGCACTGTGGGCCTCAGTTCACACACTGCAACGTGGGCCCAGCAGCGGGCTCTTGCTGAGAAGCCTGCCCAGCAGCCCCAACTAGACTAGCTGGCATGAGGCCACCACCCCAGCACTTCCTGGCCAGGCCCATGCTGAAGCTCAGGAATCTGTTACTTGCTTCTTTCTGACCCTCCCTGGGACTCTCCCTAACACTCAGACATGCATTTAAGACTGCCTGCACTATGCCCAGAATTCTTACCTGTGCGGCACAGGTGGGTTTGTCCCTGTTCCTCTCACATGCTGTGGCCAGTGTCACACCAGGAGCACTATCCAGAGGTCACGCTGGCACTTAGGACACACGAGCCTCAGCACTGAGGTTCCAGAACATCTGGACACCACACACAATCAGCAGTCTCTGGCAGGAAAAACACTGCCTTGCTGAGGTCACTACCCTGTCCCTGCCCGAGTCCACCTCCACACTCCCCAGAGCAGCGCAAAACCATCCAAGGCACAGCACACACCAGCTGCTATGGGGCTCGGAGAAAAATGGAGCTACCAAAGGTCAGGCAGTACATTAGAGTCCAATCCTTGCAAGCAACAAGACCAGTTTGAGAAGCCAGAAAGAACTCTTTTATACTAAGACCCACCACAGCAGAGCCTAAAGGCACACCCAGACAGGGAAGATAGAGCATACAGGGTAGATCCTGCTAGGTCAGGGGGGTTTGAGAAATACCTTGACCTTTCCACAGATCATGACTGACAAGCCTGCACAAATCCAAGATGACCAGCTACTTACTGAACTGCTAAAAACCAATATTCTTCAAAAGAAGGCTGCATGCTACCCACAAGGTGCATTTTCAAGTCACAATCACTAGATATGCAAAGAAACAAAAAGAGGGGATCCTTATTCAAAAGGGGAAAGCAGTCAATAAAAAGTAGACCTGAGATATGGAAGAGAGGGATGAAAGGGGTGGGGGGAAGAGTGGGAGAGATGGAGGGAAGACGGGCAGGCAGGCAGATAGGCTTTAAAAACAGCTTTAAGCTCTGGTCCTTGCTCCTAAGATGACAGGAAAAAAAAGAAGAAACAACTGTCATGCCCAAAAGGGCCACAGCTGCATGCAGCCTATTCACCATACAAACTGTGCCCAGCACATGCCAAGGACAAGGTCATTAAGAATTTGGTCATTCAGAACACAGTAGAGGCCGCAGCCATCAGGAATATTTCAGAAGTGAGTATCCTAGATACTTTGGCGCCTCCTGAGCTCCATGTAAAGCTCCATTGCCTCATGAATGGTGCCATTCACAGCAAGGGGGTCAGGAATTGAACTTGTGAAGCCCAGAAAGACTGAACATCCCACTACCCCAATTCAGTCCTGCTGACACTGCCCCACAACCTGCACCAAATTTCATGGAGCAGGATCCTTGTTTAGAGAGAAGTAAATAAGATAGAAATGATGCTTTAAAGGAAACCAGCTTTAATAAATATGATAAACTAACTATAGGAAAATGCAGTCTTTACGAGTAGGCAGAGAATCTTGGCCAATCATTAGAAGCTAAAAATGAAGCAAATGTAACTTCTAGAATCAAAATACACATTAGCAAATGAAAACCTAACTAGAGCTGAACAACTAACTGGTTATGGCCAAACTCTACCTGGCTAAGCCACGTAGAGAGAGAGTAGTGGAGATCATCAGCAAGAAAACAGAGAAAACAAACTGAAGCAAATGGCACTGGTTCAAAAGCTATGAGGCAATAGTAACAGGTTTAATAACAAGTAATTGGAGATCAAACAAAAGAAAGATTGGAACAGAAAAAAACACTTCGAGAAATAATGATCAGAATGTTCCAAATGCAATTTAAAAAAAGAAAAAAGAAAAACCAAAACATTGACCTACAGTTCAATTTAGAAAAGCTTAGAAAACCTGAAACAGGCCACATACAGAACCTACCAAATACAAACAAATTATATAAAGTCTCAAAACCTCAAAGAAAGATAAATTATGTAGAGAAACAAGGATTGAACTTACAGCAGAACCACTAGAAGAAAGTGAGATTTCTGCAAGAGAAAAAAAACCTAGCAACCCAGACCTCTCTAACAAGGATCCTTCAAAGTGAGAGTGAAATATAATCACATCTGTGGGGCACAGCATGTGCAGCAAGGTCCCAGGTTTAAACCCAGCGCTGTACCCCCCTCCCCGCCCCAAAAAGGAATGAAGACAAAACAACCAACCATGTTCAAGTAAATAGCAGTGGAGAGGGGAAGACCTCCAACAGACCTACACTACAAGATCCTAGGGGCTGTCCTTCAGACCAATGGAAAAGGGTGCAAGAAGGAACAAAGAATACCAGAAAAGGCAACTGAGAATACTCTTTTCCTTCTTCAATTGACTTTAAAGAAAATTAAGAGTTGAAGCAAAAACAAAAGGCTAAGACTGGGTACATAAGAGAAAAAGTATAACAGAATTTGCACAGCACCTTCCCTTCCATGGTCTACATTAGCCCTCTTCCTATAAGGCTTCTCCCATGTGTACTTTTCGGGGAGACACCACCCCAGCAAAATTAATCCTTTGATTGCAATTTACACGTTTTTAAAAGTCAATTGGAGCAAACTGGTGATCACATGCATTTATGCAAAGAACTTTTAGTTCACGTGATATACACAAACAAGCTGATTTGAATGCCAAGTGTCCTATGCAGGAGACTAAGGAAGATGAGACAATGTGAACTGAAGGGGTGTGTTCTGACATGTGTCTGTCTACCTGAGGAAGCAGGCTCTAAGGCGCTCTCCCGGGTCCCTTCCAGACCTCAACCCCCGCGATGCTGCTGTACCTCTGCTCCTGATCCTGGCCCCGCGCAGTCCACTTTCCTCTTTTTCCTGGGCCCAATGGCCGCCAGCGCTGTGAGGTTGGCATCTCGCTGTCGCATTTGTGCCAGCTCCTGCTGCTGCATCTTTGCGGCGGAAAGGAAACAAGGACTATGGTTTCTCAGATGCTTTACTTACTGCAAAAGCATTATGCAGATACCAAAAAGGCTTTCTGAAATTTTCTACATTTTAATGATTTATCTTTAAAAAAGAAAAAAGCACACTGACCATACTTCACCACAAAATTTAAGACCATTTAAAAAACAATAGATGATTAGATGTTTACATTAAGTGGTAGACTACCTGCCTAGCAGGTATAAAACACTTGGTTCAAAATCTCCACTACCATGAATGAATCAATGAATGAATGACTACAACTGAAACTCACCTTAAAAGACTCAGAAAACTAAACAAGTTCAGAAAAGTCGGCGTTAAACCTAAAAGCTAGACACAAACTATACAGGAAAAATATCTTTGGCTTGGTACTATTTAAATGTTGCAATACTGTAAATAGCTACATAAATACCCCAGGTTCAGAAATCCCAAGGTTTTCTTAAATGTTCTCTTTTCTGTTTCTAGGATGAATACAAACTTGGAGTTATGTGGTAACAAGTCCGGGACTGAAAAGCTTACCTCTTTTGCCTTCTGCTTCAACCTTAATTGTTCTGGATCTTCTTGTCTGGATCGAGACTATTTTTGAAAGAAGAAGGAAAATAAGTTACGACCTAAATATTTATCTCCAACAAGTGTTAACGTATTGATTTTATGATAGCATCTATGCCATATAACAGAATGTTCTAAGTTTTTTGGGTTTTTTTGGGTCCGGTCGTGGGGCCTGAACTCTGGGCCTGGGCGCTGTCCCTCAGCTCTTCAGCTCAAGGCTAGCGCTCTATCACTTGAGCCACAGCGCCACTTCTGGCTTTTTTCTTTTTGCTTATATGGTGCTGAGGAATTGAACCCAGAACCTCATGCATGCAAGGCAAGGGCTCTACCACTGAGCCACCTTCCCAGCCCTGTTTTAAGTTTTCTTAATGCTTAAATCCAAAAGATTAAAAATTTAGATTATAGGGCTAGGAATGTGGCTTAGTGATCAAGTGCTTGCCTAGCATGCATGAGGCCCTGGGTTCAATAACTCAGTATCACATAAACAAAATAAATGGAAAAAAAAACTTGTACATCACGAAAAAGTACCAATTTGGTATAACGTCTTTGACTCAATGTGGTCTGACAGGAGTCAGGACAGGGTTCTGGGTTCAGGGACTGCTCCTACACCTCAGCAAGTGGAGTAAGGGTTAGCATTTGGTCATCACCAAAGTTCATGCCTCAAGCTTTTCAGGAAGCCTCTCTGTGTAATGAAGTTTGTTTCTGACGCTACCAGTGAGGTGTGCCACATCTGGCTCTGTGTTCTAGACTGAAGAGCCACAGTCTGAAGCACAGACTTGCATATTTGCACATTGGTAGACGGAACCCAGGGAACCTGAGGGACAGGTGAAGAATGCCAGTGGAGCAAGGCCTCCTTGTGGCTCCACTTACAACCCTAAATATCCCCTTTTCTTCAAGGCCAGCCCAAAACACAACTCTGGCCACCTGGAGTCAGGGTGCATACACTGGAAATGAAGAGGGTATGCCCACAACCAAAGGCCTGGAGAACAACACAGTCACTTGCCTTGGCTGCCCGCATCAGGATCTCCCTCTCCTGCTCATCTTTTCTCTGCTTTTCAATCTGGTCAAGTTGTTCAAAAAATTTGAGCTGAGCCCGGACATCACTTGCCTGTTCATATCTGTCATCATCCTGAAAAAAAGAAAAAAAAAAGGCAAAAATACTGTGTCACAGATTTGAGGATCCAGCAAGCAAACGCTTGGCTGGCAAAGTGGACAGTTGCATAGCTCCTCCCAACCCCTCAGTCCAGCCCCCACTTGGCAGTAGAGCCCATCACTCATTTCCCTAGACGATTCCACACACCCGCCATCAGGGCAGTCTCACCAGGAACCCTGCAACTTCATGGAAATTTCTGTTTTAGATTCTTGGATGCTGCCCAATAATCTTTAGGTCATTTAAGATTCTCTATAGTAGCCAGGCATCGGTGGCTCACTCCTGTCATCCTAGCTACTCAGGAGGCTGAGATCTGAGGATCATGGTTCAAAGCCAGCCCTTGCAGGAAAGGTCGTGAGACTCTTATCTCCAATAAACCTAGAAAACCAGAAGTGGTGCTGTGGCTCAAGCGGGAGAGCACTCACCTTGAGCTGAAGAGTGCAGGGACAGCGCCCAGGCCCAGAGTTCAAAGCCCCATGACCGACAAAAATGAACAAACAAAGATTCTCTGTAGTAACAGCAGTGTCTTTCTCTTTTTTGTCAGTCGTGGGGCTTGAACTCTGGGCCTGGGCACTGTCCCTGCGCTCTTCAGCTCAAGTCTAGCACTCTACCGCTTGAGCCACAGTGCCACTTCTGGTTTTCTGAATGGTTTATTGGAGGTAAGAGTCTCACAGACTTTTCCTGCCCACGCTAGCTTTGAACTTCGGTCCTCAGATCTCAGCCTCCTGAGTAGCTAGGGTGACAGGCCTGAGCCACCAGCGTCCGGCTCACAGCAGTGTCTTCAAAGCAGAGCATTTACTCCAAATGCTGCTCTGAAGGCCTGGGACACCCGCCACAGGAGCAAGGCTGCCTCACACAGTTCCTAGCTGTTCCCGGTGCCTGCCCGAGCTGCATTTGTACAATGCAAGAAGAACACCTATTTTGCCTTGAAATCTGCTCCATGAACAGAGGCCTGTCAGCCGCAGCTCATGGCCCAGGGAAGGGTTCAGAGCCCACCGAGGTCAGGAACCCTGTGGTTGAACAAGGGTGGAAAACGGCCTAATTTTCAAAACTAACCATTCATCTTCCAATGTACAGCCCTTCAGATCACGCCCTCCTGTCCCAGCCCAGGTCTATAAGATACCCAGAACACCGTGATATTCAGGGAGCACACCGGCCTCGTCCTGGAAAGGTGGCTTCCAGATCTCTCTACTCAGAAAGTGACAACAGAAAGATACTCTCTCCTCAGGGAAGACGCCCCATTACCTTGTAAGAGAAGTTTTTTTGCTGAGCCGTTTCAGATATTTTTTCTACAAGATTCTGTAGCCTCTGCTGCGTGGCGTGGGATACATAACTCACTACATCTGGGTGCAATTCCGTTATGCCGTGCTTTTTACCTGCAGGCCAGACAGAAAGAGCATTTCCAGCATTCTGCAGTTTTCTCTGCTCCCATTTCGCTCTTTTTCTCCCCCAGCAAGTTCTGCTCTGTCCAGAGCAGCCCAGGCTGCGATGGCCCAGCACTACCTGAGGACCATCACCATCCTCCTCTAGGAGCGACGCATGAGGAGCACGTGAGGAGCAAGGGCACGCCCACGTGTGGCCCACACACAGTGGAGCTGCCAGAGAACTACCGAACAAGTTTCTGTCAAGGAGCACACGCCAGGCACCGTGGCACTGCCGTACCGATTTCCAACATCCTCCTTTGCAAGGGTGCGGGGAGCAGGAAGGTGTCGTCCTTACAGGACCGGGTGAGTGTCCCCACCAACTCAGAGTTTGTGGCCAGTATTCTTGCACTTTCTTCTGACAGGTTTACTCCAGCCATCGATGCAACATCATTGATGTCATCATCATCCCTGAGGAGAAGAGAAAGGGGTCATCCTAGCTTTCCGAGGAGTTCGTGAGAAATAGCGCTGAGGTGGTTCTGATGTGGCAGAGCAGTAGGACACCAGCAACAATCCTCTGGCTTCTGACATTCAGAGAAGGTATCTTGTGGCCTGGGGTGAAAATTAATCTGCTCTTTTTCAAGAAAAAGCTGTATGAAATGAGAGTGGACCCAAGTCCATAAATGGCTATGTGGAAGAGCCCTGACCACAGCCACACCATGTCTAGAGAAAGAAAAATCAAAAGCACTATTACCGTGAGGTTATCTGTCATAGCACCTGAAATCGAAAAAAAGGTTTTTCCTTTGTTACTGTTTTGGTTTTGTCTGTCTTGTTTGTTCCTTTATCTGTCTTTGAGGGGGGCAAGAAGGGGTACAGAAGGGACAAAGAGTGAACAAAGGCAGCAGTGGTACTCACTAGACACTATCTTGAAAATGAACTATACAACTTGTGGGTGGGGACAGGAGGGAAAAGCTGGGAGAGAGAGAAGGGATGACATTGTCCAAAAAGAAATGTATGTGTTACCTGACTCATGTAACTGTAACCCATCTGTACACCTATCACCTTTATAGTAATATAAAAAAAATCTTCGGGCTGGGATGTAGCTCAGTGGCAAAGCGCTTACCTAGCAAGTGCAACGTCCTGGGTTCGATCCCCAGTACCAAAAAAAAGAAAAGACAAAAAAAAATTCTTCAAAAAAAACTTATTTAAAATAATCACAAACTCTCATAACTGAAAGACAAATCAGCACAAAGAATTGTCCCTAGTCCGGTGCCAGTGGCTCATGCCTGTCATCCTAGCTACTCAGGAGGCTGAGATCTCAGGATTGTGGTTCGAAGTCAGCCCAGGCAGGAAAGTCCATGAGACTCTTACCTCCAATAAACCACCAGAAAACCTGAAGTGGTGCTGTGGCCCAAGTGGTAGAGCACTTGTCTTGAGCTGAAGAGCTGAGGGACAGTAGCCAGGCCCAAAGTTCAAGCTCCACAACTGACCCTCCCCCAGCCCCCAAAAAAGAATTCTCCTTGAGGTGTGGCCCCAGAGGCACAGCACAAGCAAAAGGACCTGAATGCAAATACCAGTACCACGGGGAGGGGGGGCGCAGGGGGAGCACAAATGCCTGCCTGTGCTTCCTGGACAAGGGCACCTACACCTACCCAGTGACCTGCTCGCGTGGCCACTCTCCCATGAAGCATCTTTCCCAGCAGGAGAGTCCACATGCCAACCCTGCACACTTCCTCCCCTCCACTGAATGTCCCTCAGCCTTTCCTTGCTCCTTTGACCCTGGCACTTGGCAGGTTACAGCGCACGCCAACGGAACCTCCTTGTTCCCACCGGATCCGTGACAAGAGCTCCATCAAGCCACCCCTGAGGTGGCTCCTCTTGGGTGTCCCGTGTGCCCTCTGAAGTCGTGTGCCCACAGCTCCCTCCTGCTGACTCCAGGTCATTCCGTGGCTGACACCTACCCAGTGCTGAGCCTCCACTTCTTCACAGCCCAGCCCAGGCTCGGGAGGGAGCTGTGCTGGCTGACGTGTCTCGTTATAACCCATCCCTTGCTCCGACATGACTGAGGGGCCTCAGCTTATCCAAGCCCTACGGTCAGCCTCTTCTCAGAGAAACCTTGGGCCTTGTGTTGGAAAACGGCTTTTAGAAAACAAACCCTGAGCACAGCCTCTCTGCAGAGTGAGGCTTGGGGCTCTCACCTGTACCTAATCCCACCCTCTACCCTTGATCCTAGTCTAAGGCCACTCTGCTTTTGTTCTGTCCTCAACAGTAAGATGCCACAGAGCCCAAGAGCCTGGACTTAGCTTCGGGTACGTATCTATACCCCATCTCCCTGCCCACCCCTCAAGGTGGCAGATGTCCATACCCCACCGGAGCCCTGGCTCCTGAAGTCTGCCCATCTTCCTGAAAATGTCTTGGAGGAGGGAGATCCATCCGCATGAACGTCCTACAGTGGTAGGGCCCTACAGCAAGGCCACTCTCAGGGCACTGGATGAGGCTCTGCCTGGCTGTTGGTCTTGAATGAAAGCAGCCCAGTCCCTGATGTGAGGGCAAATCATCAGCTGGGAAAGGACTGTGCTCTGAGGGGTGATAAGCTTGGTTTGCTTTGCTGTGCTGTGACACTGGAGAAGGGAGATATAGCTGACCCCCATCTTGTGCCACAGTGGGCCTGAAAGTTAACCTTCCCGGCTACACGCACAGAGCGCAGTCGTGAGGCTGCAGGGCACCAGGCACTCTCAGTCCAGGAAGATCCGAGCCAGGTGAGAGCAGTGCCCCCTGCAGTGCACACGCTCAGTCCTTACCGAAACGAACCTCCCCCAGGCTCCTTGAGCTTGTTCTTCTGTGCAGCAGCTGCTTGTGCCGAGACAGTAGAAAGGGCTTTGGTTCCAGGTAACACGGTGGGTTTCACCACGGGGACTGCAAAGGAAAAACATGTGGAGTCTAGAGACTGGTCCTGGATGTCCACCACCTTGCTACCTTGCTCCAGGACTATTACAGACCAAAGGAGAAGCTCCCACCTCCTAACTAAAGACAACAAAGTTTGCAAAAGCTTTAAACCAGTTAAAAGTTTGTAATGCATCTCTTAAGCACTTACCATCCTGCATTTCCCCAGACTTTGAAGTACAGGAATGCCTGCTGACTAAAAAACTCACATGAGCCAAGAAAGTGAATACACCTGCAGGCTCAGCTGCTTGGGAGGCCAGGCAGAGGAGTGCTTAAGCCTACAAGTTCAGGGCCAGCCTGAGCAATGAATGACACTGCCTCCTCCTGCCCATCAAAAAGAAAGTAACAGCAGTGTCCACACACCCACAGACCGCCCCCACACACACACACAATTTCTAAAATCATATCAATGGACTAATTATTGCCATACTAGTAGTTACTAATGTATAATTAAGATGTGAGTTTTGTTACACATAACTTACCACAATAATAAAATAACAGAACATAAAAATAAAGAAAGACAAGACGCCACCCCACTGCCAGGCAGCTCTGGGCCCAGCCCCGGCCTCAGGTAGCTGGAGCCGGGCCTCACCTGGCTGCAGCTGGTTCAGCTGGATCTGCTGAGATGTGGTGAGCATGATCCGGTTGTGAGGCTGCCGCAGTGCGACCATGGGCGTCTGCGTCAAGGTCACCTGCGGGGGCCGGATCAGGGCTCCAGGCTTGGGGGGCTGCTGGATCACCTGGGGCAGAGCCAGCAGAGCACATGAGCATTCTCCCCAAGGGCCAGAGTCTGGTCTCCACACCCCCACCCCGCAAAAATCTCCAGAAACCTCTGTGCACCTCAGCCGCATGGCTTGGGAGAAACCTGGCCCAGTGAGAGCCCAGGCCAAAGTTCCACAAGGGGCCTCATGGGACGGGAACAAAGCGAGACAGCCCAGCACAGCCCAGCACAGCACAGCACAGCAAGCCCACAGGACCAGGCCCATCTTGAGGCGGCAGTGCAGCAGTGCTGAGCTCAGACCTCTCGGGGTACAGTACCTCTCTCCTCTTTTGTCAGGAGAGTGGCACTGTCACCTGATGGCCACCAGTCAAATGTTTAATTCCTCTTCTAAGCCTTTTCTAAAATGCCAGGTGACATACATTGGCATGAGAGTGGATTTCCAAGTCCTGCCCTGAGCCTGACCCTACTGTCCTCCATGGCCACTTCCCTCTCACCACTCCAGGAGCTGGACCTGAGCCACACTGCCCTGGGCTGAGAACCTGGCTTCAGGGCATGTACAGCCCTACTGTCCTGTCTCCCCAGTCACATAGCAGGCTCCACGAGCTGGAGTACCACCCGCTTCCTGTGCTGTGGGCCACCTCCGGAAGGCAGGGCCCAGACAGCCCACGTTGATACTGGATGCTGCTCTGTCCAACAGAGCCTTCCCACAGACCTCTGGGCTAGTGTTCTAGAGTGAGGTTTCTAACTTTAACAAAGCTGCTTCCTGAGACTGAGGTGTAGCTAGTGTTCGGGTACTTGTCCAACATGTGTGAAGCCCTGCAGGGAAGAAAGCAAAACAAAGCAAAGCTGCCTTCATGGTTGTCTCTGCATCACAAGAGACTCACAGGGCCAGCTCCAGACAGCTCTGGCCGGGTACAGGTACACCTGCCACTAAAAAGTGTGCCACACATGACCAAAAACAAAAAACAAGTCTCTGGATAAGGGATGTCACTGAAGTGCTGGAGTGCCTGTCTCTCAGGCACGCAGCACTGCCAACAAAAACAAGCATGTCAGGCTTATCCTCAAGAAATGCATCCAGCTTCCACCAATCCATTGGCTACATACAGTGACATAAGCAGAGAGAGAGAGAGAGAGAGAGAGAGAGAGAGAGGGTGTGTGTTTGTGTGTGTGTGTTGTGTGTGTGTGTGTCAGTGACATAAGCAGAGGGTGTGTGTGTGTGCACACAACAGTAACTCTTCAAGGAGTTGGGCATGATAGTGCATGCCTTTCATTCTGCCACCTACAAGGCGGGAGCATGGCAAGTTGAAAGCCAGCCCAGCCTCCAACAGAGCAAGACCTTGCCTCAAATACAAAAAGAAAAAGGAAGAAAACATGATGCTATGGACATAACTAAACACCAGAGGCCAGAACTTCACAAAAGAGGACTTACTAGGAGCTTCAAGAAAAGAAGGAGGAAACTAGCTCATTGGTTAGTAAATAACAGCCCCTCACACTACACTATGTTAAAGCTGAGGGCCCTGTCCCTCATGGTGTCAGAGGGATATAAGAAAGCCCACCTTTAAATGTGGGCCTTAAGCCCTGCCCTGCCCCTCTTCCTGCCCTCAACCCTCTGCCGTGTTCACACTGCCAACAAGCAGAGCAAATGCAAGCTTTCTCCAAGGTAAGCAGGCCAGCCGGGCACAAGTGGCTCACACCTGTCATCCTAGCTACTCAGGAGGCTGAGATCTGAGGATCCCAGTTCAAAGCCAGTCCGTGAGACTCTGATATCCAATTAATCACCAGAAAACTGGAAGTGACACTGTGGCTCAAGCAGTAGAGCGCTCACCTTGAGCTGAGGGACAGCGTCCAGGCCCAGAGTTCAAGCCCCACAATTGATGAAAGAAAGAACGAAACAAAGAAAAAGATGGATGAGCAGGCTCCCTTAACAGAGCCTAGCCCCCTTAACAGAGCGCCTAGCCCCCTTTCTGAGGGTCATTATACAACACAGCCCGCAGTTGACTGACCACAACACCTACATTATTTCATATTTTAAGCCACATCTAGAAGAAAAAAGCCTCTTTTTTTTTTTTTTTACAGTGCTAGGCAAGTGCTCTACCACTGAATTACACCCCACCCAACACCCATGACATTTTCTAACTGCCTTTCTAGATTTGTTGGGCCTATGGCAGGAGTGTGTTCAGAACCTAACTTTCCATGAAGGAATCCAAACGCCAAATCCACACCATGAATACACAAGCCCAAGCCTCATACCTGAGAAATGCCCAGACCACAGAGATGAGGACCCATCCAGCCTGGCCCAGCTGGCCCAGGGCCAGGAGCTCTTACATTTGGGTCACTGCTCTTTTTTTTGGAGACTGTCCTCTTAGAAGGCTTGCTAAATCAGCACTGTGTTTGCTTAGATTAGGAATACCCATCCGTGGAGGTGACATGTCTACAGGCTCCCTTTCTTCTATGAGAAACAAATACAAAACCACAAGGCCTTGACCACTACTCCAGTTTCGATTACTTAAGACAACAGCCAAGCTCCTTCCCAGGAGGAGCTTTTGGCCTGCCCTGGAAAGGCAGTGCTGCTTGACAAGGCCAACCTGTGTGGGCTGCGTGAGGCTGATGACAGGGGGCTGGAGGGCGCTGGTCACTGAGGCAGCCGTCTTCCCGGCTGTGCGCTGCACCGAGCTGCTCAGCACCACGGCTGTGAGTGCGGTGGTGGCCTGCGAGGCTGGTGGCGGCTGCTGCTGGCTCTGCTGGATAAAGGCCGCGGAGTCGGGGGTCAGCTGTCTCAAGGCGGGTAAGCTCCTCTGGGAACACACAGACACTGGGGTCAGGGACTGCTTGAGCACTAGTTCTCCTTTCTTAGAAATTCTAAAGTGTGGCAGGTGCTGGTGGCTCACGCCTATAATCTTAGCTACTCAGGAGGCTGAGATCTGAGGATCACAGTTCAAAGTCAGCCAGGGCAGTAAAGGCCCATGAGACTCATCTCCAATTAACCACCAACAAGCCGGCACCAGGGTACCATGGCACAAAAGTAGTAGAGTGCTTGCCTTGAGCAAAGAGCTGAGGGATAGAACCCAGACCCTGGCTTCAAGCCCCATGACTTGCTCAAAAAATAACTGTCAAGAGTGTAACCATTGGGCTGGGAAGGTGGCTCAGTGGTAGTGCGCTTGCCTTGCAAGCCGGAGGCCCTGCGTTCGATTCCTCAGCACCACATAAGCAAAAAGAAAAGAGCCGGAAGTGGCGCTGTGGCTTGAGTGGTAGAGTGCTAGCCTTGAGCTGAAGAGCTGAGGGACAGCGCCCAGGCCCAGAATTCAAGCCCCATGACCGGAAAAAAAAAAAAAAAAGAGTGTAACCATTTAGAAAAAATGTCTTCCAGCTGAAAGTGCCTTCTTGGAAGCATCCGTGATACCTACCTGTCAATTCAGCTCTCCCACTGTCACCAAGAACTTTTCTATGTGAGACTTACAGTTTTAATGAGTATTTTTTAAGTCTTATAACATACCAATAATAATCAATGATTACCTGAGGTATACTCCAACATACCCCAGAAGGCTCACCCTACTAATGCAAGCTCCCACCCCACACCCCTGGGACATAGGGACCCCTCAAATTCAGTAGGACTGCCAGGCCTGGAGAGACGGGCTGAGCTTTACAGAAAAGCCCCTGCTAAACAGAAAACCTGACATGATGTCCCAGAGCACCACGGGCTCCCCCCAGGCAGGTAGCTTCTGTGCCCCTAGACGAGGCCCTGCTGGTACACCCTTCAATTACCTTCAGGAAAGGCACAAGGTAAGGTTGAGGTGAAGAATTAAGTTCTCGGTATAACCTGCTAGTAAAATCTTCGGCTTCAATTTTTCCATCCTTAAAAATAAAATCCACATTGACATTCTTCAGTGAGTACAACTCCATGCACATTTCTAACTGGACTGCTCTCATTTGCCTGTCCTGACAGCAGTCAGGGAAAGTCAGCATAGTGCAACACTGCAATAACAGACAGACTCCAGGATACTACTGCATAGCCAGCCTTCAGCTAGCCAGGTTACCTGTCTACATCTCCACCTTCTGCAAGTTTCTTCCATATTGCATGTTGTCACTTAGGACTCAGAAGGAACCTCTTTAATACCAGGCGCCATGCTAAGAGCAACAGGCACTCAGAGTAAGTTCACTGTCAAACTCAGCCCTGGATGCATAGGAAAAAGGGCAGCATCAACCTAGTCAGGGCAGCTGTCGGGAGTGGCTGGAATCTAAACTCACATCTGCACAGCACCTGAAGGGAAACTTGAGCACCTATAAGCAGTTCTGCTCCAGAAACTTAAAGAAGTCTGATATATTGCTGGAAAGTCGAGCGAGACAAGACAGGCAGTGCTTTCGATTGGACTGGCCCTGAGAGGCACGCAGAGGTCTGGGCAAGCCGCCTTGCAGGAAGGCAGGGACAGTGGCTGACTGCAGCACCTGCCCAGGGCTGACCAGAGACAGACCACACGGCAGGAGGAAGAGGAGCAAAGGGCTGTGCAGGAACAGAAATCTGGGGCATGGAACTTGTGGGTTAAGGAAAAGGGTGCGCAAAGGTGGTCAACTTGCCACTTCAGTTCTGTGAGGAAGGTCCACCCACGGTGGGCCCTGCAGAGGGCACAGCCATGCCTCAGGGTCCAAAGTGGAACATAGGGCTGGAAGGATTACAGACTCCTGGCTCACACCTACAGTCACAGCTACTTTAGAGAGATTGCGAGGATCTTGGTCCAAGGCTGGCCTCCACTAAGAAGAAGACCCTAAACTGAAAAGTAAACAAAAAGGGCTAGGGCGTCGGGCACTGACGGCTCACACCTACAATCCTAGCTACTCAAGTGGCCGAGATTAGAGGATTGTGGTTCAAAGCCAACCTGGGCAGGAAAATCCGTGAGGCTCTTATCTCCAATAAACTACTCAGGAAAAGCCAAAAGTGGTAGTGTGGCTCAAATGGTAGAGTGCTAGCCTTGAGCAGAGAAGTTCAGGGACAGCACCTGGTTCTGAGATCAAGCCCCAAGACTGGTTTAAAAAAAAAAAAGAGGGGGCCGGGGTATGGCTGAAGTGACCAAGCTCCTAACTAGTGAGTACGAGGCCTAGTTCCAAATCCCTACTACTCCCTGGTACTTCCCCACCTCCCTCGTTCCAGGGGAGCAAGAGGTAACAAATGGGGAAGGGAAGAGAACATCCACATGCTTAACGTGCTTTCTAAGTGTCCTGTGACGCTGTCTCCACAGCATCCTTTCCGATGCTAGAAAGCTCGACTGTACAAGCAGCATACATGCAGCAGAAAACTACTGGGGCGCTGGCCCTCCACACAACAGGCTATACAAGGCCCCCAGACCTCAGGAATGAGGGTCCTGCAGGGGGCTGCACCCCCCAACAGATGAACACGCCTCTCCTTCTACCCACGACATTCCAACTGTGAGGCTGTGGGGCTCTGAGACAAAGGGAATTTCGTGTCAGTTGCTTACCAGTAAATTTTGCACTAGTTCTTTCACATTAGCTGCTGTCTCTGTAGACTGTTTACCAGATGAGGCCAGTTTTATTAACGTAGATAGAAAATTTTTACATTTCTTCACGTTTTCCATAGTTTCCTAGATTAAAATAAAAAAAAATATCCAAGTAAAAAAGTTATGGGAGATTTTTTACCCTAGTCTAGCTGAGAAGCCCAATGTACTTTCTTTCGGGGAAACACCACCTCTCATGCAGTCTGCTCGACGCGAACCGAGTCTGCATCCCCCTCAGCCCAGTAACTCCCCTTTTTGGAATGCAACTCAGAGAATGGCCCTGGGTGTGAAAAGATGAGTCCACAAGGATGCAGTCCGTATTCTGGGGACCATGAAAAGAAAGTGACACCTTACTAAAGGAAGAAAATCATGACATAGCATCTAAATATGGTGGAAAATACTTAGCAAAGAAACATGAAGAGCAAAGTTACAAAGCATGAGCTCAGTTGGCCTGAAGATTTATTAGGTCAAGAGAGAAGTAGAAATGTAAATAAAAATAACTGCCCACTGCCCACCATCTGCAGACAACCTGAGCTGTTCCCTGCTGCGCCCTCACAGGCCCCCGATCTCAGACACTATTCCATGGAAGTGGGATGAGGGGCCCCAGAGTCCCAAACTCTGCCACCTCGGAGGCTGAGCAAGATACCTGGGCTCCAACCTGGGCTCAAGCCCCTGTACACCAGGCAGCAGTCTGGGACAGAAGAGGACCCGATAATTTCACAGAGCTGTATTCTGACTAGTGAACAACAGGCCTGGCTGTCCCTGGGGTGCTGAGAGAATTGGCTCTTACCGTGGCAGCTGTGGAGGTGGTGGTGGCCCCTGGGACCGTTCGCTGAGGTGTTCCTGTTTGAACAGCTGTTGCTGTCCCAAGAGAGGCTGTCTGGGCAGAGCCACCCAGAACAAGCTGAGGCTACAAGAGAGCAAAATGGGAGATGAATGTATGTCAGGCCCCACAGTGCAAAGAAAACACTTCCTGTAGAGGCAAAGAAGCCCCAAAAGCTACGGCTCCAGCCAGCCCCAGGGCAGCCAGCTGACCACTGGAGGCAGCCAAAGCACTCCTATCACAGGCAGACCTGCACTCTGCCCCAGTACTGGCACCTAAAGAGTCAGCTCTGGCGCCTGTAATTAAAACCAATATGAGTCAGGCACTGACAGCTCATGTCTGTCATCCTAGCTACTCTGAAGGCTGAGATCCTGAGGATTGCCGTTCAAAGCCAGCCTGGGAAGAAAGTCCAGGAAGACTCTTATTTCCAATTAACCACCAGAAAACTGAAGTAGCGCTGTGGCTCAACGTAGTAGAATGCTAGCCTTGAGCAAAAGAGCTCAGGGATGGCGCCCTGAGTTCAAGCCCCATGACTGACAAAAAGATGACCAAAACAAAACAAAAATGATACAAACATAGTCACTGGAAAAAGAATTTGCATTTCTAAGCCAACTATACATGTGTAAATTATCTCGAAAATGTAAACAACTCCCATCTCTCAGAAATTAAAGCAAAGGAGACTTGCTGCCCTGAAAACCCTTCAACCTGTTCACACACCGCAGGCAAAGCAACAGCAGCCAATGACTAAGACACTCAGTGGCTCTGTGGGGGGCACAGGACAAAGGCAGGGTCCTCCCAGCCCCTGCCCCACTCTCCACTATCCCACCTTCCCGCACTCCACAAAGGCAATGCTTAACAACCAACCAGTCACACTGGGCCTGACAAAGGAACATTTGCAAGGCAAACAGGCAGCCAGTCTTCACACAACGGGAGCAATTCAAACCACTGTCCCTCAGTCAAATTCCTACGATTTATATTTTACATGAATGAAAATACTTATGAACTTTTTCAACTCAGTCAATTCTCCATCCAATGTTTTAACCACTGCTTTTTCCAGCTTCTGAAGGTAGGGGGCAATATGATCCTGAATTCAACTCTAGAGTCAGACCAGGCCAATTTCTCTGCCAACCCAGTCCTTGGAGTGCTCCCAAGGCAGGGAGGGAATCTCATTCTGGCACCTGAACCGATCCACTTCCGGGCAGCTGTGATCAAGGGTTAGAGGAAGTGATGAGCTCCTCCAAAAGGCTATACTCTTCCCCTTTAACAAGTATGATCCTCACCCCTAGAAACCAACAAATAAAACTCCAAGTGATGAGAATGTGAAAACTGTAAACTGAGGGCTGGCTCAGGAGCAGGGCAAAGCTGGCTGTGACTTGGACCCTTCTCACCTTTGTAGATAGTTTCTTTCACCTCAAATTTCACCCTATGATGCACATTTCACCTAGTGTAAGTAAGTCATCTATCTATGTCAGTACAAAGGTTTCCACTAACTCCAGTGTGGGAACCTGTCTAGGAGCGTCACTACCTCCTCAGAAAAAGGCTGTCTCTGAGATGAAGTGGGCCAGGAGCTCTTTTCAAGAGCTCTGCACTCTGGACCCCTGCTCCTGGTATGCGCAGATCTCACTGGCTCTCAGCTGCCTGTGATGGAATGGCACCCTCAGCCACAAAAAGGAAGTTAAGTCATGTTCCAGAGAGAAGACAGCCCAAGTGCAGGATAGCCAGGGGGGGCCCCCTCCACTACCCAGCTCCGTCGTGGGGAGCACAGGTAAGCAGGCACTGCACACAGGACCAACACAGAGGGTACTTTCAACAGCATGAGTGCTCACAAGCTCACAACATCACGAAACCAGTAAAAGATGGGCTGCTGTGTTTCTGCTGCTCCCACATACACCCTGGGCCAGGTGTCTCCCCTAAACATGTGTATCTTCCTAACCAGCTGTGTTCTCCAATCAGATGTGTCTCCTCCAACTAGGAGTATCTCCCCGTCGTAGAGCCCTACGTCCTTACTGCAATAGCAGAGCCAGCTGAAGCCCCTTTCCTGGGCTGCACAGGCTGCGCTTCAAGAGAGATGGCACCGGCAGGAGCCTCTTCCCACTGACATCTCAAACACTACATTACTAACAATTTACTGGCAAAGACAGCAGAGAAAAATGGAAAGGGTGACATTGACCAAAATGCACTGTACTCATAATCTGACTTACAGAATCAAAACTTTGTACAACTATTTAAAACAAAAAATTAAAAAAAAAAAAACAACCAGCCCATTAGGGTCTATTTCCAGAAACATACTGTCATCATGAGCAGAATATATGCCTAGGAAAGTCTGTGATGAGGAGAAAAAATAACTCTCTTTATGAATAGCCACTCTCCTGAAACAACATGGCGTCCAACGTCACAACTCAAAGGAAAAGCACACTGATCCACCGGAGTCCCTTCGCTGAACGGTGCTGCCTCTTACCTGAACCCCCGGGGAGCGTTGCAGGGTTGTAGTGGGCTGTACCGTTGTCTGAGCCTGAGACACTTGCTTAATTATGGTAGTTGGGGTCACCTGCCGTGCAATAATAGGTGTCCCAGGAGCCTAAGAAATAAGTTAGGATTAGGGTTAATCGTTTAACATGAGCTAGAACAACAGTAACCCCCTCCCACCATATACAAAGATGAATCCTTAAATGTGTAACTGGTGCCCTCAGGTAGGCCCACAGGTTACAGCTCCTGAGAAAGCCAGCCCAGTGTTCTTACCAAAGTAAAAAACATATGATCTAACTCTTTTCATCTAAAAATTCATCCTAAAATCATTACACTTCTTCCACAACATTTATAAAATATGATCCTTTTTTAGGGGAGGTGGCAGTACTGGGGCTTGAACTCAGGGCCTTATGCTTGTTAGGCAGACACTCAAAGCAAGTGGATGCGGGCAAAATTAGATTCTGCACAACTGTCTTGAGTGCCCTGAAGTGGGTCAAGATTCCCTGGGCCCTGGAGGCTGTGGAAGGGGAGGGGAGGTGCTGACTAAGACAGTCAGCCAAAGTTAAGAAGGCTGTCCGAGGAGGCTGCAGACAGTAACAGATCTCCAACGCTGCTCGGCTGCTTCTCACTGAGGACGGGCAGGCAAACCTTCCAAATACTGAAGGTGCTATTCCACGCTATTCCACATGGGTGTGTCTGCCACACATACCCAAATATGGGACAGAAGTGGGACCTCAAGACCCCTCCTTCCTGACTTCTCCTTTGTGGCCCACGTATAGCCAACCTCAGAACAGCACCTGCCACATGTCTTGTAGACAAGGAAGTCATGGTGCTGGACAGGGTACCACATGGTCCTCAGCATGGAAGTCCATCCTCCCATGAGCTCAAGGTCAGGATGCAATATGGGGAGCAGGACAGCCTGTGACATTCTAGTGCTGCCTAACAAGAGCTGACACCTGCATGCGTTTGCTCTGCTCAATGACCTCAGTATGTCACATGTTGACAGAACCATGAGCAACGCACTAGAATGAACTGCATGTTTTAGAGGAGGAAACTGAGGCAAAGGCCAGTATTCACCTGGAGCAGCTGGCCACTCAGCCAGGAGCTGAACTGGCTACAAGCGCTCACTCCTCCAAGAGTTGTGGTCCTGGCCAGGAGGCAGACAGAAACCAGCCCTGTCCCAGGCCCTGCCGGCTGGTAGCCAGGAGGAGTTCATGATACACAGCCCTCGACTGGCACCTGTGTGCACTCACCTGTACGGTGGATATCTGGACAGGAGGGGCACTTGTGGGAGTGGCAGGGCGCGGAGCCATGGTGCTCTGTGGCTGGGCCTGGGCATGGGCCTGAGCCTGCATCTGAGCCAGGGCCTGCTGAGGGATCATTAACAGCTGCCCATTCTCACTCCGCACGAGGACCATCCCTGGAGACAAAGAAGACCTGGTGTCAGGAAACACTCCCACTCAGGGAGGGCCCGCCTGGGGGCCTGCTGCCACGGAGGAACACAGAGGAAAAGAGGATGAACACAGCAAGCGTTGTCAGAGAGCCAGCTGTCCTACAGTCACGGGGCTTCCTCACACAAACCAGGCAGCAAAGCAAGGCTTCCACCGGCATGCCACAGGCCACACCAGACACCCACATTATGGATCTGGACACCTGTGCACGCACGCAGCCCACAGACATTCAACGCCACCGCCTCCGGCCCACCGCACTGCCATCCTCAGCTCACCAAGTTTGCAGAGCCACCAGCAGGTGTCCCTCGGCACCCAGCATCTGTGCCTGCTGCAAGCCGGCACCCTCACCATGCCATCTGTCTGTCAGAAGCACTCAAGAATGCCTGCAGTACCGGGGCCCTGCCCCTGTCTCTGCCTGCAGAACACAACCCTGTCTATGGCACACACACAAGCTTCCCCAGCTTAGGGCCTGGATGTCCGGAACAAACAGAAGACCACATAGGCAGCTGCTGCTCATGGAACCCCCTGTGATGAGGTACAGGCAGTAGGGTCCTACAGGAGACCAGGATGCCCACAGCACAGGGGCATGATGCGGCAGCAACTGAGACTGGGAAAACTTCTTACTCCTTCAAGGTTCTTGATCTATTTTTTTTTCCTTTCCAGCACTGAAGTTTGAAGTCAAGGCCTTGCCCTCCACCCTTTTGGCTTTATTTTTCCATATTGGGTCTCATATTTCATCCAGAGAGCCTGGGCCACAATCCTGTTTGTACACAGCTGGCGTGACAGGGTGCACCACTGGGTATACACCAGCTTCTTACGGGTTAAGATAAGGATCTCACTTTTTTTTTCCGGTTGGTCATGGGGTTTGAACTCAAGGCCTGAATGTTGTCCCGGAGCTCTTTTTACAAAATCAAGGCTGGTACTCTGCCACTTTAAGCCACAGCTCCACTTCTGATTTTCAGGTGTTTAACTGGAGATAGGAGTCTCACACTTTCCTTCCCAGGCTGGCCTTGAATTGTGATCTTCAGATCTAGGCCTCCTGAACAGCTGAGATTACACATGTGGGCCACCAGCACCTGGCTCTCACCATTTATTGGTCTGTTCTCAAACTGCAATCCTCCCATTCCTGGCCCCTCAAGTACCTAGGATTACAGGTATGAGCCACCAAACCCATCCTGGAGTTAAATCTTAGGAAAGCAAATCCTACCAGTAAGGTTTGGTATTAATTTGAGCTTCAAAGTCCAACCACCAATTACATCATAAATACCACTAGAAATAGTGAGACAAATAGTAAGTAACTTGAGAGGATAGGTGGGGTTGGATGATGGAAGGGGTGATATCAACCAAAATGCACTATACTCATAAACCGATATACTAAACTGAAGCCCTGTTTTACCCACTGCTGGAGGGAGGCAGGGAGGGAGGCAGGGAGGGACCCATGATGGGTCCGGTCCCTGCTGAAGCTATGTAAGAGCTCAGACATCCTTGGTGGATGGCCTGTCAGCCAGCATGGATAGAAAAGCAGCCAGATCCAGGAGGAAGATGGCCACCTGGAAGCCACCACAGCCCCACCTCATCTCCACCCCTCCAGGAAAAGTGGCAAAGTCTTCGTGTCAAGCAGACCCTGGGCTTTCCCTGGAAGAACAAGTTAGAGCTGTCAACCAGAGCTCTAAAAGGGGATTTGATGCTATTGGGCTCTGAGATCTCTCAAAAGCCATCATACCATTAAAAAATAAAAACTGAGGGCTGGGAAGGTGGCTCAGTGATAGAGCGCTTGCCTTGCATGCCTGAGGCCCTGGGTTCGATTCCTCAGCACCACATAAGCAAAAAGAAAAAAGCCGGAAGTGGCACTGTGGCTCAAGTGATAGAGCGCTAGCCTTGAGCTGAAGAGCTGAGGGACAGCGCCCAGGCCCAGAGTGCAGGCCCCACAACCGGACCCAAAAGAAAAAACTGAAAAATAGTAATACTGCACCCATCGCTTGAATCCCAGCTCAGAATCTAATCAGGCCATTCATTAATATACTGTAATTACTACAAATCTTTTTCCTTAAAAAATTACATCCACACAAACTTAAAAGAATAGTTTTAAATATGCATGAAATAGCCAGGTGCTGGTGGCTCATGCCTATAATCCTCACTGAGATCTGATGATCAAGGTTCCACACAAGCCCAAGCAGGAAAATCCAAGAGACTCTTATCTCTAATAAATTAAAAAAAAAAAAAAAAAAGCTGAAAATGGTGCTGTGGCTCAAGTGGTAGAGCACTAGTCTTGAGCAAAAGAAGCTCAGAGACAGGATCTAGTCCCTGAATTCAAGCTCCAGGATCAGCCACAAAAAAAAAAAAAAAAGTAGCCAGGTGACTTTAAGAAAGTACCTCAACCTCTTCAACTTCAACTGCCAGGTGCCAGTGGCTCATGCCTGTCATCCCAGCTACTCAGGAGGCTGAGATCTGAGGCTCGTGGACTGAAGCCAGCCCAGGCAGGAAAGTCTATGAGACTCTTGTCTCCAATTAACCACTGAAAAAATGGGAATGGTGCTGCAGCTCAAGTGGTAAAGTACTCACTTTGGGACAGGACAGACCCAGAGAGCTCAAGGTCCAAGATTGGCAAGGAAAAAAAAAAATCTTCAAGTGGGGTCAGAGGGCAACTGTCAAGCCTGGAATCCTAACTATTTGGAAGGCAGAGATCTGCAGATGATAGTTCAAGGCAGGCCTGGGATTTAAAAAAAAAGTTCACAAGACTCCATCATGAGCAATGGCTGGGAGAGGTATATGGTGCCCACCGTCAGCCCAGACACAGGGAAGCACAAGCAGGATGACCCAAGCATAGCAAGAGACCCCATCTGGAAAATAACCAATTTTGTAAAGAGACTGGTGGAAAGCTCTAGTAGTAGATGCTGTGCCAACAAGCACAACATCCTAAATTCAAACCTCAGTACCACCAAGAAAATGGGGAAAGGACTTCAGCTGGGAAAGAGAAAATCAAGAGAATGGCAGATAAAACTGAATAAAGAGGCAACAGACACGCATATGTGTGCATGAACCCCTGGGCTGGGAGTGTCTGACAGCACAGTGCCGGCCTGGCACATGTAAACACAAGGCCTGACCTCAGTACTTCCCAAAGTAATGATTTAAAAAATAAAAACCAGGGCTCCAGTGCCTCACACCTGTAATCCTAGCTACTCAGGAGGCTGAGAGCTAAGGATCACAGTTTGAAGCCAGCTTTGGTAGAAAAGTCTATGAGATTCTTATTGCCAATTTACCACCAGAAAACCAGAAGTGGAGATGTGGCTCAAAGTGGTAGAGTGCTAGCCTTGAGCAGAAAAACTCAGTCCCTGAGTTCAAGCCCCACAATCAACCAAACAAACAAACAAATAAACTCCACTGGCTGAATGGATACAGCTGGTATTCATAGGAAATTGGCCACATCCCCCTGTAAATAAACCCAAGTTTGCCTCAAACAAAGGGTGCCTATAGGTGCTGCCTTTGGGTTTCCATGGCTACAGTGTACCATCACTCATTGGTTACTGCATACAATCACTTCTCACTGCAGCCGAGCGACAAGAGCCACTGAATGTAAGAGCGGCGGGATCACCGGCAGATGAGTAACGGCAGCACCCTCATAGCAAAGCAGCCTGAAATACAGACCAGCTGAAGATAAAGGTTCATGAAGAAACAGAAGAAAAAAAAGATTTAAATATATTAGCTGGGCACCAGTGGCTCATGCCTGTAATCCTAGCTACTCAAGAGACAGGTCTAAGGATGGTGGTTCAAAGCCAGCCCAAGCAGGAAACTCCCTGAGACTCTTATCTCCAATAAACTCCTCAAAAAAGCCAGAAGTGGCACTGAGGCTCAAGCACTCACCTTGAGCAAAAAATATCGGGGACAGTGCCCAGGCCCAGAGTTCAAGTCTCAGGACCAGCCAAAAAATAAGAGTTCATGAAAAGTAAGCTGCTGGTCTGATAGCAGCTTACTGGCCAGCACTTCCTCCCAACACATCCACATCTAGGAGCTGCTGGGGAAGGACAGGCCAAGCAGAACCACTAGCCAGGTAAACTCCACGGTTTGATACCATTAGTCCCACAAGGGATCCATCCAGAAGTGCCAGAGGAGAGCCACCAGGTGTGTATGAACGAGATCCTTAACCTTGTCCCTCCCACTGCAATATGCACACAAGGACTCCATATCAATAGAAAAGGGGGTTCTGTCACCCAAAAAGAGTCACTCTGAATCCTTGCCCTCAGCTCCCACTAGGAGAGCTCATTGTAAGAGCTACTCCAGGACTCTGAAGCCGACAGGACTGGGAGGCAGCCACGCTCAGTCAGTGTGCACAGTGAATCCTGCATCTAGATAGAGGCTTCCTTTCTAATCATCGCAGGATCTTTCTCATAAAGAACTAAGTGTTTCTTCATGGAAAACTGACCACGCACAGAGAAGGCGTGAGGAGGAGGAAACCTCCTGGGAAACCCCTGGCTATCCTGTAGACGTGCCAGGCACACAGGTCCCAAACAAAACAGAACACAAAATAGGTGGCTCTCCTGACACAGTACTGCACTGTCTCCTTGCACTTCTTACGAACATTTTCCACGTCACCAAACATCCTTCGAACGCTGTCATCCAAGCGCTGATGGCTCATGCCTGTAATCCTGGCTACTCAGGAGGCTGAGATCTAAGGATTGCAGTTAGAAGCCAGCCCAGGCAGAAATAAAGTTCACTAACCACCAAAAAGTGGAAGTGGAGCAGGGGCTCAAGTAGTACAACACTAGTCTTGAGCAAAAAGCTCAAGGACAGTGGAAAGAGGGAGAGAGAGGGAAAGAACAGATCCTACCCTCCCTGAAAAACTGGAGCTCCAGAAAACCTGTCCTGCTCCTTATGACTTTTCTGATGCCTTCAATCATCAACACTAACCACACTCAAGACAGAATAACATCAAGTATGTGAAGCTGAACAACCACCCGAGAAAGTGTGTCCAGGGTGGGAATCACCCCTTGGGATAGGCGCTCACATGTCACTAAGTACCCATGGAAGCTCGCTCCGGACCAGGGCCCAAGGGCTCCTCCCTGACTGTTCCACAAGGGCTCTCTGGTCATCCCTGTGCATGGCTCTTCAGGGCACACACCCTTGTGCACTGCCAAGGCAACCAGCCCAGGAAGGGACAACCCTTGGGCTGTGATGGCAATGCCCAGCGTCGTGAAACAGAGACTAGGCTGTCTCTTTGCCTATGCAGAGGTCCTAGGGCATGTCCTCTGTCAACAAAACTGTCACTCAGACTCGCTGAGTCTGTCAAGACAAGGGCACAAAGGCAAATCCTTTGGGATTAGAGTCGTGCTGAGGAACACCTCCCAAGTCCTGTGTCTGACGCAAAGCTGTGGACATAGGAGAGGGAGCCATGCTGGGTTGCTTCGCTGCTGGGTTGCTCACAGCTTCTCAGAGACCCTTTGGCAGACACCAGCAGAGAGACGCTGGCTCAGGCCACCCTGCTGCCGACGCACCAACCTTCCTGTCTCACGCTAGCCTGGCCCCCACCTGGACCTGCTCTGGCTGGTGCTAACACAGTACTGTTAGAACTGACTCAACCACACCTGGCATTC